AGTAGACACACACCCTGGAGAGAACAATAATGGGAGAAGGAAGTGCTGCTTATGCACAGGGAGACAGCTCAGGGAGCAGAAGAGTATGGAGGGATGGACACTGGGAAGAGGTAGCTGTGGGGAGGAAGTGGGAGGGGAGCTGTTGCATTGTAAATTTTGGCTAATGACATGAGACAAAGTATATGTGAACTGCTGTATGAAAAGTGAATTTACTCTGTAAATCTTCACCCAAATCAAAATAAAATTTAAAAAAAAAAAGACAGGAAAAGAAGAAAAGGCCAAAGTGATGTCAGAAGAGACTCTGAAACTTGCTCATGAGCAGAGAGTAGCTAACAGGAATAGAAGAAATGATGAAGTAAAGAGTTCAGCAGAAGATTTCAAAAGGTGGCTCAAGAAGACAGAGTAAAATATTATAATGAAATGTGCAAAGACCTGGAGTTAGAAAATGAAAAGGGAAGGAGGCACTCAGCATTTCTCAAGCTGAAAGAACTGAGGAAAAATTTCAAGCCTTGAGTTGCAATACGGAAGGATTCTATGGGCAAAATATTGAAAAATGCAAGAAGTATCAAATGAAGGTGGGAGGAATACGCAGAGTCAGTGTACTAAAAAGAATTGGTCAATGTTCAACCATTTCAGGAGGTAGCATATGATCAAGAACCAATAGTATTAAAGGAAAAAGTCCAAGGTGCACTGAAGGAATTGGTGAAAAACAAGGCTCCAGAACTAGCAGAATGTCCATTGAGATGTTTCAACAAACAGTTGCAGTTCTAGAAGCACTCACTCATTTATGCCAAGAAATATGGAAGATCTGGAAAATTGACTGGAATAGATCCATATTTGTGCCCGTTCCAAAGAAAAGCAATTTAGTAGAATGCTGAAATTATAGAACAATATAATTAATATCCCATGCAATTAAAAATATGCTGAAAATAATTTTAAAATGGTTGCAGCAGTATATCAACAAGGAATTGTCAGAAATTCAAGCTGCATTCAGAAGAGGATATGGAATTGAAGGATATCATTACTGGTGTCTGATGGATCTTGGCTGAAAGCAAAGAATACCAGAAAGATGTTTACCTGTATTTTATTGACTATGCAAAGGCATTTGATTATGTGGACCATAAAAAATTATGGATAATATTGTGAAGAGTAGGAATTCCAGAATACTTAATTGTGCACATGAGGAACCTGTACACAGTTGTTCAAACAGAACAAGACACAGTTGTTCAAACAGAACAAGGAGATACTGCATGGTTTAAAATCAGGAAAGGAGTGTGTCAAGCTGTATCCTTTCACCATATTTAATCTGTATGTTGAGCATATAATCTGAGAAGTTTGATTTTATAAAGAAGAACATGGCATCAGGATTGGAGGAAGACTCATTAACAACCTGTGATATGCATATAACCCAATTTTACTTGCTGAAAGTGAAGAAGACTTGAAGCACTTACTGATGAAGACTGAAGACTACATAGTCTGTAGTATGGATTACACTTCAACATAAAGAAAACAAAAATCCTCACAACTGGACCAATAAGCAATATCACAATAAATGGGAAAAAATACTGAAGTTGCCAAGGATTTCATTTTCCTTGGATCCACAATCACTACCCATGGAAGCAGCAATCAAAGGAGGTATTAAGTTGGGCAAATCTGCTGCAGAAGTCTTCAAAGTGTTAAAAAGCAAAGATGTCACTTTGAAGACTAAGGTGCTCCTGACTCAAGCCATAGTCTTGTCAATAGCCTCATATGCATGTGAAAGCTGGACAATGAATAAGTAAGACCGAAGAAGAACTGATGCATCTGAACTGTGCTTTTGGCAATGAATACTGACTGTACCAGGACTAGGAGAAAGAACAAATTTGTCTTGGAGAATGGTCCTTAGAAGGGAGGATGGTGAGACTCATTCACCCCCCATACTTTGGACATGTTATCAGGAGGAGCCAATCCTTGGAGAAGGACATCATGCTTGGTAAAGTAGAAAGTGAAAAGGAAGAAGACCCTCAATGAGATAGATTGACACCATCACTGCAACAGTGGGCTCAAGTACAGCAATGATTGCAGGGATAGCATAGGACTGGGCAGACTTTTGATTGAGGTTGCTGGGAGTTGAAACAGACTTGGTGGCAGCCAACAACAACAACAGTAGATGTGTTGAAGTCCTAACCAGGTACCTGTGACTATGGTCTTGCTTGGAAATAGGGTGCTTGTAGATGTTATCAGTTACAGGAAGTCATACTGGATTGTGGTAGACCCTCATCCAATACATAGTTGTTGTTGTTGTTAGGCTCCATCAAGTCAATTGTAGACTCACAATGACTGCATGGAACAGAGTAGAACTGCCCCCTAGGATTTTCTTGGCTATAATCTTTATGGAAGCAGATTGACAGGTCTTTTCCTACATGGCCCTTGGGTGGGTTGAAACCGCCAACCTTTCAGTTAGCAGCTCAGCACTTAACCACTGCACCCTCAGAGCTCCTTCATCCAGCATGAATGATGCCCGTATGGAAGAGAAGCCGAGACCCAGACAGGGAGGGGAGACCGTGGTCTGATGACGGAAGCAGAGATTGGCAGCCAAGGATTGCCAGCCATTACCAGAAGCTAGGAGAGATTCCCTCAGAGTGCTCAGAAGGAATCAACGTGGCTGACACCCTGGTCTCAGACTCCCAGCCTCCAGAGCCCTGAGAAGATACATTTCTGTTTTTCTGAGCCACCCAGTGGTATGTTGTGGTACTTTGTTACAGCAGCCCCTGGGAGCTAATAGGGATGGCCACAGTCACACAATCCCACTCATGTCATTAATTGGAAGATTTTGCACGTGCTGGTTGGGGAGGCCTCCTGCCCACACACATCTCGGTGGTATCACATGCCTGTTTCTGTTTTGAGTCCTTGTTGACATGGTAATGTTTTGACGCTTGTTTTGTTTTTCCTTCTTTGGTGTTATTATTAGTATCAGATGTTTCAACTCTCAACCTGAGCTGCTCCAAGACAGGGACTTTGTCTTGTCACAGCACTGCCCTCAGCACCTAGCACAGCCCACCTGGCACCCAGTAGGTGCTCAGTAAATGTCAACTGAACGTGTGTTCCAGGAGCTGGGCAGGCCATTTCCGCACTTTATCATGAATACATCGCATTAAAATAGAAGGAGAAAAGCGAGAAGAGAAAGAGAGAAATGGTGGAGGTGAAGGAAGAACAAGGAGGATGCCTTTTGAGGAGAGGGGTCCTCAATTCCTGCCCCTCGTTCCCCAAGCCCAATGTCGCAGAACCAAGACTCAAACTCCCGTTGGAGCCACGGAACAGTTTCCTATACAGGGACACATACCTGCCCCGACCCCACCCACGAAATGGGACCTGTTCACAGGGCTAGGCAGTCACTTCCCTGGTCGCACGGATCCGCTACCGGGACCCTAAACTTGGCGTATCCGCGGTTCTTCACCGCTTTGGGCCAGCGACCCTGCAGGCGTTTTACAAGTCATGGAGGCAGTCGGAGGTTTGTCACACACCAGAGCCACAGCGGGGGCAAGTTCCCGCGCACAGTGCCCTCCACTCGCCTTCCCTGAAGACCCCGAGGGCGGCCAGGAAAGCTGGGATCCAGGTCCGGAGTCCGAGTTCCTGAGATTTCATCCAGAAACTGCTTGGGCAAGTCGTTCGCCATCGCAGGCGGCCGGCTGTCTCATCTTTGCAAAAGGAATAGAGACAGCAGCCCAAGATGGGGGTGAAGTGAGTTAACAGGCCAGGCGGCTGGCACAGCGTCTGGCTTCTTTGGGGAATGGGAGCGCTGGTGGGTCCCCGTCCAGGCCGTTCTGGGTGTTCGGAGAGATCACAGGAGGGAAGGGACGGACAGATGGACTCAAGCACAAAAATTGAGGTCTCCGGAGTGCGAGGGGAGGGCGCCGGAGTGGGGACCCCGAGGTGATTCCAAAACCAGAGCTGACTTCTCCCAGGAAGTTACACCCACCGAGAGAGAGGGGCATAGAGATGGTATTCCGGCACTTGAGAAGGAAAACTTCTCACCTGTTACTTCACTTCACCCTTCGTATATTTCATTCCTTTCCTCCTCGGGGTGCCACGCTGCGCTTCCTCAAGCCAGAGACTGAATGGCTCCCTCAATTCTGTGCCCTGGGAGCCTTGCTGGCCTTCTAGGGCTGGAATCTGGTCTAGCTGTGTGAGCTGGGCAAGTGCCTTCAGCTCTCTGAACTGCTCAGGGTAAAATGGGGTACTGATAACAGCAGCACTCTTGTCTGTGTGGATGGCTGTCCTGAGGATTGAATGGGACCCGGCATGTCGCGGTTGGGGCGCGGCTGGCACCCTTCCTGCTCAGCACCGGCAGGCCCCTTCCTTCTCTGGCATCAGTCGCCTAGGTTGCGACATGGGCTCCGGGCAGGGCCTGAAGGACCACTGAGCTCTCGGAGAACACGCCACTCCAGCCCGCACAGCTGGCGCGCAGCTGGGCCGCGGGAGCCCCGCGGAGTGTGAGAGGGAGGGGCGAGCGAGCGGGGTTGGAAGCTGCGGTCGCCCAAGGGGGCGACCGTGAAGGACTCCGCCCCACAGCTGAGGCCCAGCTGGCCTTGGGGCTGGTACAGCCACGTTCTGGCTACCCCGGGGCAGGGGCCGAGGCATGGGGTTTGGAATCCAGGTAAACGCCCCCCCCCCCCCAAAAAAAAAAACAAAAACACCTCACTGCCCGTGGAGTTGATTCGACTTACACCCACCCCTCCTTGGGTTTCTGAGGTATCTCTACGGAAGTAGATTGCCCAACCTTCCTTCAGAGGAGTGGCTGGTGGGTTTGAACTGCCAGCCTTCTGGTTAGCAGTCAAATGCCTTAGGCACTGTGCCACCTGAGCTCCCAGGAAGGAGAAATGTAGGGGCCAGCTTGCATAGCCAGGACAAGACACGAAGTTTCTGGGGCACCCCTTTGCAGCTTTCCGTGGTGTGATGTTGGAGACAAACCATCTCCCCCACCCCTAGTCTAGGCCAGTGTTGCTTCCTCTCTGACCCAGCTGGACCCTGCAGACCGCCCCACCACGCTCCGCACCACCACCCAGCCCGAGCTTCTCCGAACGCCCAGCGGCCTCTGCAGGCACTGCACCAACCCCCCTGAAGCCAGTTCCAGCCAGCCAGCCAGTTCCCGCCTCAGGGCTTTTGCACTCGCCCATCCCTCTGGTTAGAACTTCCCTGGGCATTTCTTCATGTAGACTCTCAGCTCCCAAGGTGCCCCTGCAGCCAGGTTGCCTTGACCAAATAAGCTCTCTGTGCACCTCACGCTCTGGTGGAGTAGTGGGTAAGCCACCGCTAACCAGAAAGTCAGCTGTTGAAACACAGCAGCGGCTCACGGAAGGAAGATGAGGCCATCTACTTCCATAAAGATTTACAGCCTGGTCGGAATCGATTTGCTGGCAGTGAGTTCGGTTTGGTTTAGTGTCTCGTGTAGCTCTGGTGGGGTAGTGCTTAAGGCATTGGGCTGCTAACCCAAAGGTCTGTGTTCGTACCCACCAGCCTCTCCTGGGAAGAAAGATGGGGCCGTGTGCTTCCGTAAAGATTTTCAGCCTTGGAAACCCAGTGGGTATGGCTATGAGTCGGAATGGACTGGGGGGCAGTGGGCTGGGGTTGGAGTTTGGGGCCTCAGGTGGGAGCCCTGCCATTTTCCTCCTGGGAAGCGTCCCTCCGGCCCTGGAAACCCTGGAAACCGCGTTTGTTTGCTGGGGTGTTTTCCGCTGCCTTCTTGGCCCGGAAGGGAGGGAAGAGGCGCTCTTGCTCAAGGCGGTGAGTGAACTAACGAAGAAAAGAACACTAGCCTCTGATCTGGGATTTAGGCTCTGCCCAGACTTTCTGCGTGACCTTGGCCAGGTCGCACGAACCCTCTGGGCCTCAGTTTTCTCATCTGTAAACGAGGACGTTGGCATCACTGATGACGAGGGTGTACTTCCGATACGGCGTCCAGACCGGCTTCTCTGAGTCGGACTTGGGTTTAAGGATGGCGCGGAGCGCCTGGAGCGAGGCGATCTGGAAGGAAGGATTGTGCCCAGCGTGGGGACAGCCTACGTGGCCTGCTTCCGCGTGCGCGTCACTGCTTACGGTGCTCGCTTCCATATTTGGGTGTATTTTTGCGTTAACGCGCGAGGCAGCGGCGTGTGGGGCTGGAAAACTCCGATGCGGTCCTAGGCACCTGAGTGACCTTTGGTAAGTCATTTCCCCTCTCCATGGTTTCCTCGCCGGTCCCTGGGTGTTGTGAGCGGTTAAGCGCTGGTTAAGCGCGGGACTACTACTAAGGGGAAGTTTGGCACTTGGAACCCACCCACAGTCACCTCGGAAGAAAGCCTGGGATCCTGTTCAGAAAGGTCACAGCTTTCTCTGTGTTACTCTGCACGTGAATCTGAATCCACCGCATAGCCCCAGGTCTTTTCTCCTGCAGAGCAGCTGGTGGGTTCGAACCAGCGACCTTTTGTCTGTTAGCTGAGCGCTTAACCGTTGGTCCACAGGGCTCCTTCACCAATAATAACCAAAACACCAAACTCACTGCCCTCGAGTCGACTCCGACTCATAGTGACCCCTCCTTGGGTTTTCGAGGCGGTATCAGTACAGAAGTAGATTGCCCGGTCTTCCTTGCCCGGTCTTCCTTCCCCGGAGTGGCTGCTGGATTTGAACCGCCATCCTTCTGGTTAGCAGTCAGTGCCTTAGGCTACACCACCAGCGCTCCTTCACCAATAATAGAGGTTAATAGTAGTGATTGCGTCATAGAGGGACCTGGAGGTTAGCAGAATGACTCTTAATTGTGGGTCCCCAGTGGCGCGCAGGCAATCCTCATCCTCCGCATTGCGGCCCAAGGACAAGAACAGCCCTCCGCGTCCGCTCTGCCTCTCCCTCCAGCCACCGGACTTGGGCATCTCTCCCCGCCAGACGCCCAGCGGAATCGGAGCAAGCGAACGCCTCAGCTGCCGAGGCTGCCAGCACCGCGCACGCACGTCGCCCCCAGCCCCTGAGCTCTACGATCTCGACTTCTCCCTGTGCGCTTGGGAGCCGAGTCGCCTTGTCCTCCTCCCAACCAGCCTGGGTTTGATCCCATTCAGCCACCAAGACACTGAGGCTCAGAGAGGTGAGAGGAAGATGCCCAGCAAAGGGAAGTTCTGCTGTGGCCCTCCCTGGCTCAGCGGTCTTGCCCGAGTGACTCAAGGCTCTGGGCCTGAGTTTGTTCGTCTATGAAGCGGTGAGGATGAGGCAGGTCCGCCTGGTCAGGTCATTCTGAGGATTCGTGGCGTTGTCCCATGGAGAGCTGAGAATGAGTCTGCCACCCAGTGAGCGCTCAATGTGTGCTGGCTGCTGTCACCGGCGTTGAGGTGGCTGACTGTGGTAGCCCTTCTCTGAGAAAGCGGTGACGAACAGACCGGAGACTTCCGCCTCTGCTCTTGTAGATCTTGCTTCGCATTGTTATTGTGCCCATTTAATAGAGGGGAACCCAGAGGTGGGGATACCCACCCACAGCCTCTTAGCCTGCCCCAAACATTGTTTTCCGGTGAGTCTGGCCACACATGGCATTTCTCCCCCTGCCACTGGGGGTGGAGGGAGTCTTTGAAAGGAGATTTTTTTTTTTTTTTTCCCCAAGGAGGCGGCAACCGAGTGCCAAGTCCAGCTCAGGAAGGGCAGCCCATTGGAGCAGAGGGGTGGGGCAGAAGCCGGAAAGTAAGGTAGGGAAGTGGCCCGGTGTAGGGACCCTATAAGGTCACGCTCACCTCCTGTACACACACAATCTCCATAAATACTGTAGCATCTTTTCCTCCCCCAACACACACACACACACACAGAGAGAGAGAGAGAGAGAGACAGACGGAGATGGGAACTCTGGTGCAGGGAGAACTCCAGCCCCACGTGGTGGATTTGTGAGTGGGAAGGAGGTGGCCTCGGTGGTCTCACAGCTTCAGGCTCAGATCCGGCCTTGGCTCACAGCTGCCGGTAACTTCATTCGCCTCCCGGGTAAAATGGGCAGCCAAGGCCGCCAGGACTGGGAGTCTCCTGTGGGGGCTGGTCCTTCTGTCTGCTTCTATCAAGTCCCAAGTTGAAGGCAGGTCTTTGAATTTGCTCTTGACTCCCAAAGGCAGCGCTTTACAGCACCGCCCCCCACCCAAGCACGCTGTGGTGCCCTGGGCCCTGTGAGCGGGGCTTTGGGGCAGAACACAAACCCTTGGAGACGCGCAGTGACTTGCTAGGGTTCCCTGTTCTGAGAGCCGTCAACTTGCATTCGCTGCCCCAGGCCTGAGTCCTGAGGCCTCTACCCTTTGGGAGGTTGGTGGAGGTACAGAAAGCCCCCCACCAAAGTTTGCTGCTTGCAGCACCTGGCACCTCACAGAATATTCCATTCCATTCTCATCACACCACCAAGACACTGTTTTGAAGATTCAACACTTTATAGATGGAGAAAATGAGGCTCAGAAATGGTAAGTAACTTGCCCAAGGTCACACAGCTGGAAGTAGCCAAACCAGGATTTATATGCAGATGGTGGGCTCCAGGCAGGCGACCCCACGCCGGGCTCTCTCGCCTCCGCCCGCGGCTTTCCCAAGCTCCGCCTTCTCCGTCCCTGCTGGGCCGGGGCGCGAGGGAGGACATTCGCAATTTTGGGCTCCTGTTGTGGCTGAACAGGGCGTCGCGTCTGCCTCCTGGGAACCATTCCGAGACCCTCAGGCGAAACGGGAAAAGGAGTGGTGCGGGACCCTGCAGGAGGCCCCAGACCTGGAGCCCCAGGAGCCAGGGAAGGCCAGAGTCTGTGCGCGGGTCCTCGCGGTCCCAGGGGCTGTTTTCTCGCTACCGCAAAGGAAAAGCTCCGGTCTTAGGGTTGACCTGCAGAGGAACACGGCCGAGGGAGCCAGGCGCCCCTCACACACCCCGCCCCTCCTGTTGTCCCCGGTGCAGGCATCTCGCCGGCCCGCCTCCGGTGCGCTCCGCACGACTGGGGGCTTCTGTGGAGCTCCGCGATGGGCTGTCGGCCGGGCTTTGCTCCGCCTCTCTCTGGGCTCTTTGTCTCTTTCTGCATCTTGAAGTCTTTCATCCGTTCCCCTGATTCGGGTTTAGTTCTGCCTATCGCTCTCAGCCCCGTGCCCCCCGCCCCTCATATGTGTGTCTACCTATCGGTGTCACCAGACAGTGGGCTTACGGATGTGTATTTGTGTCTATGAACTGGGGCTATGTGTCTATTTGTTGGGATGTGTGTGCTCGTGGTGGTGTTGGGTGTGTGTTGGTGTGTGTTTGGTTGTGCACTTACTGGTTTGTGTATACAAGGTGTGTAGTGTGTTGTATGTGGTTAGCTGTCTGTGATGGTAGTGTGTCTCATGTGTAAGAGTGTTGGCTGTGTGTGTTGTTGAGGGTGGATGTATGTACTGAGTGTATGTGTGTTGGCGATGTGTGCTGGTTCTACCTGTGTGTGGTGCGTGTTGGTTGGGTATGTGTGTATCGGGCGTGTGTTGACTGTATATGTGTTGTACGTGTTGGTTTCCTGTGTGTGTATGTTAGAGGTGTGTGTTTGTTGACGGTGTCAGTTGGTGTATAGTTGGTGAAGTGTGTGGTGTGCTTTGTAGTGCGCAGGCGCTCTGCACCGCGGAGGGACCGCCCCCCCCTCCGCCCCAGTCCAGCGTCCGGCTACCAGCTCCGGAAGAAGCAGGGGTTGTGGACGCGCGAGGGCGCTGTGAGGAGGCAGGCCCAGGTGAAGGGAGGCTCCTCCCGGACCTGGGAATGAGGCTGCTGTGCCGGGCAACAGTGGGAGAGAAGAAATTCCGAAAGTGTGGGTGGAGGCTGAGGGGAAAGGGGGAGGTCAGGTGCTTCCCGGGGTGCCAGCTGTCCAGTTCCAGGGACCATCCCCGCCTGGCGGAGAGGCTAGTGGCCCGGCTGGCGGGGATGGAGTCGGGGAGGCAGTGCGGCCCCGAGGGTCAGGTCAGGACGGCGCCAGCCGCCGAGTTGAAAGGAGGCCGCGGTTTTTCCTCGCTGCTTCCCACTGCGCCCCGGGGGCGCAGGCCAGGGCCGGAGTGGGCTCACCGTGGGGATGCAGGCCACTAAGAGGGGCGGTGCGTTCCGGGCCCGGGCCGGTCTTGCGGCCACAGGATTCGGACCCGCGGCCCAGATGCTGGAGAAACTGCCTTCATCCGAACTCCTGAGCGACCTGGGCCTTCAGCGCGGGGGTCGGGGAGCAGAGAAAACAACCCTAACACCAGGCGCTCTTAGCGCTAGCGCTCCCTCCCTTCCCGACCGTCCCAACCCCTCCGTCCCGCCGTAGATTCCTCGCTCTCCTCTTTCCTTCATGTGAGACCTGGAAGCCTCAGCTCCGCTGTCATGGGGTCACCTCGATTCCTGCCCAGGCTTCCGCACCATGGGCCATCTAGGTCTTGTCAGAATGGGCAGAAGCTGAGTTTGCAGAGTGAGGATTCCATCTGCTCCCCAACAAAACGAAAACGCTTCACTGACGCCTCGCAGTGCCTGTGAGACGCCCCCGCGAGACCGCGAGGGCCGGCGCTGGTTCCCGGTCAGGGCAAGAATGAGTTAATTTCAGAGCAGGGCCGGGCCGCGCCGTTCAGCTACCAGCCGAGCGGGAGGTCCGCGGGCCCCTTCCAGCCGAGTAGCGCCCATTCCTCACTAAATGACCCACAAATTTGAGGACGCTGGGGAAAGCGTGGATCCCGGAGTCGAATTGGTGTTCGGATCCCAACTCTACCTCTTATTGTTGTTGTTGGTAGATGCCCTCGAGTCGGACCCGACTCATAGCGACCCCTCCTTGGGTTTCCTAGGCAGTATCACTACGGAAGTAGATTGCCCCATCTTTCTTCCGGGGAGTGGCTGGTGGGTTTGAACTTGGTTAGCAGTCAAGTGCCTTAGGCACTATGCTACCAGAGCGCCCCTACCTCTTATTAGCTGTGTAATTTTGGGAAAATCAAGACACCTCTCTGGGTCTCAGTACTCTCCTCCAATAAAAATCTCCTGCGCTGTTGCGGGGCGCGGAGGGGGCGGCGCGTTCCAGAATTCCCGGCACACAGTAGGCGCTGAATAAGTGCACTTTCGGGGCGGGGGGGGGGCAATCACCACCACCTCCCAGCGCCGTGGGCGGCGACTCCGCGTGATCAATCAGAAATTCCTTGCCACAGAAAGAAATTGATCCGTAAAAGTCCAGGTGGCGCAACTCTAGTCCCTTCGGCCTCTGTTTGTTGAACTGGGGACTGAATTCAAAGAGGCAGGGTGGGCATGCAGGGCACTCCGAGCCCAGGTGGAAGTCGCGACAGACGGCACTACATCGGGCCAGGGGCTCGCCCCCACAGCGAGGCGCCGCTCGGATCCAGCATGCTTTTATTGGGTACCGTCTGTGTGCACGCGGAATCTACAGAAAAGATGAAAACGGACCGCGGGGTGGTGGGGGGCGCGTGAAGAAAGGGCCAGACACAAACGAGTGGAAGGGAACCGGGACACAGGGCACGCAGCCAGCGGCAGGGGCGGGCGGGGGTCCCCGGGCGGCCGCGGGCCGGGTCTACCCCGGCAGACGCGCAGGGAGGTGAGTGGGGGGAGAGGTGCGCCCGCCTCGCCTGGAGCTACCGCCTCGCTGGAGCCGCGGCGCGTCTACAGAGCGCGAGCCGTTGCTCATTACGGCAATTATGTTGCTTTAAGTTGGCCTCGACCCTAAATTGCCAAGTGCCCAGGAGCCAGGAGGCTCGGGAACCGTGGCCCAGGGAGACACCCGATCCCACCGCGCCATTTCGGGACGCGCGGAAACCGCTCCAGCGTTGCGGACACAAGACGAGCTGCGAAAACTCTGATCCAGCGGTATTTTGCCGGCGCCCTCCCGCGCGGGGACTCCCTTTACACTTCATCAAACTCTTGGGAGAAGAGTCCCAGGCCCATTTCGCAGATGAGAAAACTGCGGTATGGAGCACTGACGTGATCTCCGCTCCCCAAGGTCAGACAGTCACTCAGTGGTAGGACTGGGATAGAACCAAGTCCGACATGGCTTGCTTCTTTTCAAGTTCTGTGCTCTGGTAGCATAGTGGCTAAGTCACTTGCCTGCTAACCAGACGGCTGGCGGTTCAAACCCACCAGCCACTCCTCGGAAGGAAGGTTGGGCAATCCTACTTCCGTAGTGATACT